AAAAAAGGAAGGGAAGAGATAAGATATACATGTTTTACCTCCTTCTCAATACTCGTGGGTCGAAGTGGTATTCTATCAAGAATTGAAGGATTGAAAATGTATAGGCCGGCATTGATCTTGTTACCCACGTATTCTTGTGGTTTCTCCACGAATTCCGCAATCATTCCGCTGCGCTCATCGAATACGACTACACCATATTTTGATGGTTCCTCTACCTACATGAAACAGTGCGAGGTTATGAAAAATAGTAAAAAGATTCAACGAAAATAAACTGGCATATAAGAAGAAGAAGGTTTGACTAATTGCAGACTAAAACAGATGTGATTGCAAGTTACCCCATACTTAACCTTTTTGAAAAAGAAAATTTCATTTTCGGAAAAATTCTCCAAGCTTTCCTGAAAAGATTTTTTTAAACTTAATTTTTAACGTGTTACGCTTTCGAAAACATTTTGAAGCAGTCGATAAGTAACAGAGTATAGAACATAGGAGGGTGAGCGGGCTTTGCCAGTAAAACTAGGAGAGGACAGTGGTCGCATAATAAGTAATTGTAAAAGCAGAGATCGGGGCTGTGTAAAGCAAAAACTCTTCAAGAAAAGTTTATCTGCAAACATAAATTCAGCATACAATAGGGGTACCTTCCATATTCAAACTGGCTGACATGAACGTTGGTCGGGATGCGATGCCACAGGGACAAACAAATCTCAGTTACCCCAATACTATGCTTTTTGATGAGGAACTGGCTTGGTTTATTCTGTTGTAACATAAGGTTCCCACGGTTGGTTGGAATGAGCGCGAGAGAGAGATGCGCAAAGTAGGGAAGTAGAGTTATTGGCATACGAATTGAGCCTAACGGCGAGAGTTCACCTATGCTTGCATCTTAAGACCTTTTCGCAATATTTCAAGGTTACAGCAATGAATATACAACACTGAATTTCTTCAATAGAAATCATCTAAAATATAACTGAATGGCGGGCTCTAAAGATGGAAGGAGAAGAAATGGCAGAACTCACTCCCCTGTAGCCCTATCTGACGATATTCCGCTAATTCCAAAAACATAGACTTCACTTATAGGAAACTCAAGCTAAATTCTGAGGAAAAACCGAGACATAGCTAAATATTGGGCTCAGTTCCGGGCAGTCAGTAAAATGCTGTACTGGACACAATTGAGCTGACCAATCAACGGTCGTGTTGCCCGATTGAGTATGAAGACAATCTTACTGATCCCATAGATACGCTTCGGGTCTTGCTTAAAGGTTAAAAAGATATTCTGAGAGACACAGGCAAAGAAAACTACTAAACCATTATCCCCGACTAAATCATTTTGAAATCAAATCAATGGTGTGTATTGCAGAGAAGCTCAGACCATCGCAGTATTCGAAACGCAAACCTGTGTGACAGCAATCGTTCCTTCTGATCCGTGAGAAAGATGAAAATCGATCATCTCTTGGAAGGGAAACTCGCAAATCACGTCAGAATTGAGCACGAAGAAGGGTTCATCACCATCCAAATATTGCCTATAAAAATGTCAAAAAGAACTTCTAATAAATCTGCTTACATTCGAATACAATATCACCAACAAATCAGACATAACGAGATAATGTACAATGCTCCTAACCTTGCTAAAGCCAGTGGTCCAGCGGTTCCTAGTGGTTCTTCTTCCAAAGAAAAATGTACTTGAATTCCTAGTCGCTCTGCATGTACCTTCATTTCTTGCTCCAACTGCTCAGCACGATAGCTATAACAGAAAACTGTTGTAAACAGAAAAATTTCTCTGCGTGTACCTTGACTTCCCGCTCCAACTGCTCAACATGGAGCTGAGAAATTTTCAGAAAAAGGAATTATAGCCATCTGCACCCTTTCATTGCAGTTCCTACGCTTTTAGCGACCCATTTCCCTAAATGTATGTCA